CTACAAAGTTAGGCAAGACACTTACCTCAACTAGGACAATGCAACATTCGAAAATAGCTTTTTCCTTAAAATCCGCCTCTACACGGCTCAAATCCAACCAAAATCGACTCAATATCATCAAACAATGCTAGGGAAATCAATTGCAATAGATAAAGCTAAGATCTTTACATTTTTTCGAAAAGTCAAATCGAGGCCCGTCCGGTCAAAACCCGGGTCCAATGGTAGATTCTAACTATCTATGATCCCACGAGTTCATATATGTGATTAGTTTCAAAATTCGAGTCCAAATCGACTCTCAAAACTCAAATTTTTATTTTTCAAAACTTTGACAAGGTTTCATAATTTTTTACTTTGATTCACATGATTTTGACGTTAAAATCTAAGATATATTGATGGAATATGATTAAAAATAGATTAGAATCACTTACCCAAAGTTTGTAGGTGAAAATCCCCTCTCCAAATCGCCTCTTACCGAGTTTAGGATTAAAAAAAAATGAGAGAATGAGTTCAAAAATCCCATTTTCCAGCTCTTTAACCAGCTGCAAATGTCGCATTTGCAACACAGGGTTCGCATTTGTGAACCCTCGCAATTGCGGACCAGGGCTCGCATTTGTGAACCCTGACAACCTCAGCATTCATCGCAGTTGCGATAGAGGCTTCACAAAAGCGAACAATTGTTCGCAAATACGAACTAAGGTAAAATCTAGCAGTCTTCGCAATTGCGAATGAGGAGTCGCAATTGCGACATCAGAGCCCCCACTGTCACATTCGCAATTGCGATGTTGGTGCTCGCAATTGCGATACCTGAGCACCATCAGCACCAACAGTCCAAACCCATTCCGAAACATATCTGAAACTCATCCTCGGGGCTCCAAACCAAACATCCACACAAGTCTAAAAACGTCATATGAACTTACTCGTGCGATCAAAACACAAAAATAACATCTAGAACTACTAATCGAACACTAAAACGCATGAATTTCAAAGTAAGGTTTAAGGATTTCTAAAGTGACAACTAAACGTCCGAATCCTATCAAATCAACTCTAAATGCCACCAAATTTTGCAGACAAGTTCTAAATACCATAACAGACCTATTCCAAGTTCCAAAATCAAATCCCGAGCTCAATAGCTAAAAGTCAACCTACGGTCAAACTTTTCAACTTCAAATTACCAAGTTTCGGCAAACCAACACAAATCAACCTACGACCTTCCAAAATTAATTTTGGGCATACGCCCAAGTTCGAAATCATGATACAATGTGATCAGAGTCATCAAAATACGATTTCGGGGTCATTTTTACAAAAGTCAAAGTTTGATCAATATTTTCTAATTTAAACCTCTATGTTAAGAATCAAAGGGTCTAAATCAATCCGGAAGCTTCCAGGAAAGAAATTAACCAGCCCCGCAAGTTATAAAATCATAAACACACATGTGTGAAGCATCAAAAGAGGAAACATGGCGCAATTACACAAAGCGACTGATCGGGTCGTTATAGATTTTTGGCGTTTTAGGGCCATAAAGCTTGAACCCCGCCCGATTCTCAGTTTTTCGTGTGCTATAGCCCATGCCATCTGCATGGGTCCAAGCGACCAGACCCGGATCGCCTAAAATTTTGCTGGCACATAAAAACGACCTAAGGAACAATAGTCATTGCCTCGCCATGACCGTTCTTCGTTTTTTGGCGTTTTAGGGCCATAAAACTAGAATTGCGTCTGATTCCCAGATTTGCGTATGTTATAGCCCACGCCCTCCGCATGGGTCCCGACGACCGGTTCCGAATCGTCTAAAAAACTTTCGGCCCATAAAAAATAACCTAAGGAATAATAGTCATCACCTCGCCATGATTGTTCCTCATTTCTGGCCTTTTAGGGCCATAAAACTGAAATTCCGCTCGATTCCTAGATTTTCGTATACCATTGCCCACGCCATCTGCATAGGTCCGAGCGACCGAACCCGAATTGCCTAAAATTTTACCGGTCCATCAAAAATAACCTAAGGAACAATAGTAATCGCCTTGCCATGACCGTTCCTAATTTTTTTGGCATTTTAGGGCCATAAAACTTGAATTCTGTCTGATTTCCAGATTTTCGTATGTTATAGCCCACACCATCTGCATGGGTCTTGTCCACCGTATCCGGATCGCCTAAAATTTTATTGGCCTATTAAAAATAACCTAAGGAACAACAGTCATCATCTCGCCATGACCGTTTCTCGTTTTTTTCCGTTTTAGGACCATAAACTAGAATTTCGCCTGATTTTCACATTTTCGTGTGCTATAGTCCACACCATCTGCATGAATTCGAGCGATCAACCTTGAATCTCCTAAAATTTTGTGGGTCCTTAAAAACGACCTTATGAACAATAGTCATCGCTTCGCCATGATCGTTTCTCATTTTTTGGCGTTTTAGGGCCATAAAACAGGACTTCGGGACGATTCCCAGATTTTCATATGCTATAGTCCACGTTATCTACATGAATCAGGGCGACCGACCGCGAATCTCCTCATTTTTTACGGGCCCATAAAAGATAGCCTAATAAATAATAGTCATCGCTTCTCCATGACTGTTCCTCATTTTTTGGCGTTTTAGGCCCATAAAACAGGAATTCAGGATGATTCCCAGATTTGCGTGTGTTATAGTCCGTGCCATCTGCTTGAATTCGGGCGACCGACCCCAAATATCCTAAAATTTTGCAGACGCATAAAAAACGACCTAGTAAAAAATTATCATCGCTTCGCCATTACCGTTCCTCTTTTTTTTTTTTTTTTTGCGTTTTAGGGCTATTAAACAGGAATTCAGTACGATTCCTAGATTTTCATGTGCTATAGTCCACGTCATCTGCATGAATTCGGGCGACCGGCCCCGAATCTCCTAAATTTTGCGGGCACATAAAAACGACCTAATGAACAATAGTCATCGCTTCGCCATGACTATTTCTTGGTTTTTGGCGTTTTAGGGCCATAAAACAAGAATTTAGGACAATTCTCATATTTTCGTATGCTATAGTGCACGTCATTTGCATGAACTCGGGCAACATGCCTGAATCTCCGAAAAATAGTTTTCCTTTTTAAAGTATATGCTTTCTATTGGGAGAAGATAAAGGGAAAATTTAGTAATTTATTTTCTTTTTTAATGTTTACTTCAAATTGTTTTAAATAGTTTAGTGTTACAACTTTATATTTTAAGAGTAAACACTGAAAATCTTACACAATTTCAAAATCAGCACTTAAACCACCCTATAAACATTTGCAGATAATTCACTCGGCTTTTGACAAAAAATCTCTTGGCTTTTGTATTTTTTATTTTTTTGGTGTTAATTACCTACTTATTGATACAAAAAAGTTTGCCACACGTTTACAAGGTCCAGTTACTAAGTTCTTAATGCGTTTTAAGTGAAGATTTATATAATAACCGAGGTTTACAATTTGACTCCAGTTTTCAAATAGCTTTACAATATATTAAACCTCTTTGTCAACTAAGGACAACTCATGGTAACCATTTCAACATTTCATATATTGTCTCATTAAACCTGCTTCTCTTTCTTTTGTTTTTTCGTTAAGGCACAAAGTATATTACGGTATGAATAGTTTTTATTTTGTTAGCTTTATTTAAAAAGTTAAATAAATGTATCCATGTAATTATTGTTATCAAAGGCGAAACTCAAACTTGCTTAAAGCCCCCATCTAAAGTTTATTGGGACTTTAAGCTCAAAACGCAAATAAAATGTCAACTTTACTGAAGAAAGAAGCAAATAGAGAACAAGTATAAATATGTTCAACACAAATAATTATAAGCATGATAATAAATATATAAACGATGAAATTGAATTTTTTTCCGATAAAGTGCACTAGCAATCGTTTAGTGTCGCCTCTTCAGAATAACGCTCATTGGCAAAGAGAAGTATGCCTTAGAGTTTTGATGACGACACTGAAACCTCGCTAAACAAGGAGAAGCGTTCAACATATTTTACGCTTCGCTTCAGGGTTTAAGTACGCTTTAAGCGCGCCTTCAACAACACTGTGTGTAATGCAACTGAACTTGCTCCAAGATATACTTGACAAAGCACTAGTGGGATTTATTTGTAATGAAAATTCAAGGAAAGAGAATTACTGAATACTGACTAAATATTTCTGCTAAAGATGAATTAAATAATTGTATTTATAAAATTTGGAAAGTTGAAATTTTCAAAAAACGTGGTGGTTGGCTAGAATTTTCAATCTTGTTTTTTTTGCAATCTTGAAAATGTTGTTCAACAACCCGAAGTTGACTATAACCTAAAAAGTTAATTAGACAAAAAGAGAAAAATAAGAAAGTGCATGCCTTACGTTTTTGCTACGTTTTTGCTTTTCTTTTTTGAACAACTTTTGAATTTTCATGTTGTACTTTCTCTCCTAATAATAATATCCTTGCCAATTCATGTTGACGGGAAAGCACGTGTCGAGATATTTCAACTATTTTTCTTTTTTAATTTAATTAGTTAATCATATAATATTATTATTCTGTATGGCGAAGTTTCTTCTAAGTCAAAAGTATTTTTTTAAAGTTTTGCCATGCTCTTAGAAGAAAAAAAATATTTTTGAGTAGAAGGAAAAAACAGTTTTTGAGACGCCGAAAACATTTTAAGAAAAATATATTTAGAATTACTTTTTAAAGCTGACCAAATACATTGTTTGAAAAAATATAAACAAAAAATATACATTGTTTCTCATCAAATAAGGTGATTGCAGAAGCTTCGCCAATAAAACTATTTGAATTATGTTTCGAACATGAATTTCACGAATTATTTTAATGAGTAGACCATTATTCACTTGAATTAGTCTTCAAACCAATTTTTAAGACTTCAAATTCTGTAATCTCTATTTTTATTAAAATAATGCACTAAATTGTGAATCACATTAATTCACAAATATTTGCTGTGAAGCAAACATAATTAATGCTAAAAAACAAACAATGATTAGTTGATAACATCAAGAAATGGTACTGACAATGCCTATTGGTCAAACCTTACCAAATAGTCCTTTTAAGAGTTTATAAAATTGTGCTCTAAATTCTTTGAGGAATTTGGGAGAAGAAAAAATGGCAGCAAAAATGAGCACAAAAATTTCTGCAGCATCAGCCAGGTCTCATACTAGAAAGCCTAAGCAAAAGAGTTCAATTCCTCTTCCTTCAGGTGCTAAATCTTTTACTAGCTCCTTTTTTTTTTGTTATCGGAGAATTTGCCGACGGTTTATCGGAAACAACCTTTTCGCCCTCCCAGGGATTTGCGTACATCCTACCCACCCCATACCCCACTTATCGGAATCCATTGGGTTTGTTGTTGTTGCTGTTGTTATTGGAGATATCTTGATTAATCTGCCTTTCATTTTAGTTATTACAATGCCATTTACTTAGAAGTTTGGCCAAGCTTTTTAGAAGCCAAAAAAATACTTTTGAGTATTCGCAGAAGCAGTTTTTTTGGGGCGCAGAAAATGCGTATTTGTTGAATTTTTAATAGTTTTTCACATATATATCTGCATTTCGTGTCAAAAATACTGGGTTCAATTGACGCTTTAAACAAAGGCTCTATCAGCCTCTGCTTGAGACTTTAAGGACTCAGGAAGGTTATAATCTAATAGACAAGATGGTCAGAAAAGATGTATCAATGGTAAATGACTTTTTTTCTTTTTATTGGAATTTGCTGGGTAAATTTAGCATACACTGAAATGTAGAGTTTGAGAAAGTTGGTTGAAATTTGTTTTGAGTTGCTAAAGGTGTGCTTCCAAGCTACCGGAAATCATAAAATTTAATGTGAAATTGTTATTGCACAAGAGGGGTCTATTTAGCTGAATAATGTGCAAGGACGAGATTGTTTTTTTCTTGTTTTTTGATAAAAGTGGTGTCTAGGCAAAGACGGATCCAGTATTTAAACTTTATGAGTTCAACTTTTAAGATTTTTAACATTGAACCCATTATATTTTTAAAGTTATGGGTTCAAATCTATTATTTTTGCAATTTTAATGAATTTTTACACATAAATTTCTACTCAGCGTCGAAAGTTATGGGTTTAATTGAACCCATAACTAACACACTGCATCCGCCTATGTGTCTAGGCCAACTTGCACGCCTCTCAGCCAGGGGCGTAGTTAGATTCAGGCAAGAGGGTTTAATTGAATCCCGTTTTCCGAAAATTATATTGTACAGTAAAAATGGAATTTTCTTAGTTATATATAAACTGTTGAATCCCCTTGAAATAAGGGAAGATTCAATTGTGTTCGCGAAGGAGTTCAAAAATTGCTTTAAGCCATAGGTTCGTTCAAGTCCCATTGGGAAAAAATCACCTAGCTTTTTTTGTCTCTAATGTGATTTTGAACCCCGGAAAGAAGAGATTGCTTTTTGTTTTCTTGGTTTTAAGGTTCTAATGATAGCAAAAAGTGGGAAATTTTCAGGGATGTTTGGGAAAATTCTTGTGGTTCTCTTTGTGGTGTTCTTGGCATATGCTTATAAGGCAATGCAGCCTCCTCCTCCAAAGATTTGTGGCACCCCAGATGGCCCTCCTATCACATCACCTAGAATAAAACTAAGTGACGGGCGGCACTTGGCTTACAAGGAGCATGGTGTACCAAGAGATGAGGCAAAGCATAAGATTGTGTTCATTCATGGGTATGATTCTAATCGACATGACGCTGTCATTGCAACCGGCCTCTCTAAGGTAACTCTCATCTGTTCACCTGCAGTTTGTCGTCATTTCTGTTGCTTATACCCTTCTAAGGCCTTACATTTATGGTATAAAACACATGTTTTTGACAGGAGGTTACTGAAAGCTTGGGAGTATACATTGTTTCCATTGATAGACCTGGTTATGGAGAAAGTGATCCTAATCCGAAGCGAACAGTGAAGAGCTTGGCTTTTGATGTACAAGAACTTGCTGATCAATTAGGACTTGGGTCCAAATTCTATGTCGTTGGGTTTTCCATGGGGGGACAAGCTGTTTGGACATTGCTCAAATATATTCCTCACAGGTACTTATACTATTCCTTATATACTAGCCAGAGAGTCGACCCATATAGGAACGTTTGCATAGAGGCGGAGTCAGGATTTGAACTTTATGAGTTCTAAATTGAATTAGAATAGCGATATAAGGTGTTAGTAACTGGGTTCTGAATTGAATGTTTTTACTTATTTAATAAATGTTTTAATACAAATACAAAGTTTGGATTAAAGCTACTGGATTCGGTCGAACCCGTACATCGGTTTCTAGCTCCGCCCCTGCATAACAATGTTAGGGGAAGAAATGACACAAACCAGATGGTGTTAGATTTGATACTAGCAGCTGTTGTGACCTATTTTTTTTCTTGTTAGTAATCGGTTTCATCCATCTTATAAGCTTTACTCGTTTGAAATGTAACAGATTGGCTGGAGCGGCTCTTCTAGCACCAGTTACCAACTACTGGTGGCCTAATTTCCCCGCGAACTTGTCCAACGAAGCATTCGGCCATCAGCTTCCCCAGGATAGATGGAATCTTCGTGTTGCTCACTACCTTCCGTGGCTTACCTGCTGGTGGAACACTCAGAAATTTTTTCCAGCTTGTAGTGCTGCTTCTTACAACCCTGGTGCTCTTTCTTCCCAAGACTTAGAATTAATGCCCGCGTATCGTGCCAGAAAAGACCTTTATGTAAGTGCTCTTCTCTTGAGATCATCCCTCTTCTCATACTGCACGGAAAGATATAACTTTGGCTTGTTCATCTTGTGATCTTATGACATACGAGTTGTAAAATATTAATGTCATTAGTTGGTTATTTCTGTTTCAAACTCTTTCCCCTATATATTCTAAGATAAACAACTTCGCACGATAAACTTTCCAAATCTAAGGATTAAGGCAAGTTTATCAGCAAAACTTTCCATCAGTTGAAGATTTTTACTTGATAGAATTACTTTCTCCAGTTTTACTGCTGAAATCCAAATTTCTCTTGAGATTTACTGTATATCACTAAAAATCATGTGATAAACGGCTACAATAAACCATTTTTTGACAGGAATAAGTTCAGTTGAAAGAGAATATGTTTTTCTCTATTTATAGTGATATTGGAAGAACTTAAATATTTGGCATACATTCATTTGTTTTTTTGGAGAGATCGGGTTTGTTTATCCTTACAATGCCAAAAGTTTGAGTTAAGTAGAGTAAGATAACCTAACAGTCATAAAGTTTTTTCTTAGCAATAAGGTCTTAGCTAGACGTGCACACACGAGTGGTAGTAGTTTACTCCGGATAAAGGGAGGCGATTTGTTCATCTGAAGAGTGACAACAGGGTATTTTATTGCTGAGGTGCATCTATCTAATTCATTAGAAGAAATAGGGCGGCTTTTGCACGGTACTAACCCTAAACAATCCGATGATCAGCATTGAATTACCAGACATACTGAGGCATTACCTATCAGAAGAAAATAATAGGGCATGAAAAGTGGTGTAGCCATCTGATGATGGATAATTGGTTGAATTTGAGAAGAATGCTTAATCAAAATAAGGGCAAGGAGGAATTAAGGAGGGGCAAACTAGTCAAAGACACTTAAGATAGTTCACCCTGGGGTCCTTGTCACAACCAAACACAAAAAGAGAGAGAGAGAGAGAGAGAGAGAGAGAGAGAGAGAGAGAGAGAAACAGAGTGATAGTTCACCCTGAGTAGATGTAGCACCTATGGAAGTACCGGAGAATCCTACAGTATGATAGCATTGAGCAAGAGAGATAAAACCCTTTGGCTGAGGCCTGGGTTGCCTGTCTTGAGTTGCAATATCTTTGGCTTGGTTTGTGTATTTTACGTTTAGTGGTTGTCTCGCTAGGCTCTAGTCTTGAATGACATTCGTGAGCTGGTGCCGAACTGCCAATATCAACTCTCAATAGAATTTCATGGTGGGAAATGCCTCGTGCAAATGGTGCTCTGGCGCTTGCCTTCCTTTATCCTAACTCCCATTCTGCGTGAGGGTGGCTTCGTATTCGTGATATTTTACAATGTTCTACTACTTGGACAGAGTAAAGGGGAGAATAAACAGTATAAGAGACTAACATACTACAAGTGCACATGTAAAGGTTGTTTTGATGAATATCAAACTCCATTGCACTTTTACGTATGCTCTGATAGGCTCTTGCTCTAATTAATTGAGAGACTTCTAGTTTCTGTTGTGGAGAAGATTCTCCAAGGTGCTAGCCTGAACATAAGTTGCAATTTGGATATCTCTATTTTAATGAGATCACAATATCACTGATCATCCAATTGTGTTGGATAAGATTTGGCTCGGCCATTGAGTTCTTCCCATTGAACAAGTGTTTTAGTCATTCAATTTCATGCTAACTCGGTGTAACACTCACATCCCATATCACATCTCTGAATCCATAGTACATATAATTAGCTATGCTTTACTAAAGTGGTTCAACTGCGAGAGCATTCCAGCGGACACTGTTCCACATCTTTAACACATTAACATACTGTTTCTTTTGTTGTTAGTCAAATGAGGAAGTAGAGCTTTTACCACTTATGTATATGCAACTACAGACCCTCATGGATCCGCGAGAATGCTGCTGCTTGTTAGTGTCTGTTTGTGTATTGCATAGCTTTGATATTCTTATCTTATTGGTACCTGACCATTAGTCTTAACTTCATGACAACCCTCAGGCTCAGGTGAGACAACAGGGACAACACGAGTCACTCCACCGTGACTTAATGATTGGCTTCGGGACATGGGAGTTCGACCCTGTGGATTTGGAAAATCCATTTCCTAACAATGAAGGTTCAGTCCACCTGTGGCAAGGGGACGAGGATAAGCTAGTACCTGTAACTCTACAACGATATATTGCACAACGACAACCATGGATTCAATATCATGAAATTCCAGGTGCTGGTCACATGTTTCCGGTGGTTGATGGCATGGCAGACAAGATCGTCAAGGCTCTTTTAATTGGCGAGAAAAATGTTTCTTAAGAGTTACATACACTAGATCGTTTGACATGTTATATCATGCGTATCATTTTCGCTACCTAGCTTGTACTTTGAGTATATTCCATGCGGCTTGTTATAGTTTTTAATAAGAGAATTGGCATTTAGAGACTTGTGGTCTATTGCGTGAGAACTTGGTGTTTTTCCTCCTTTATAGCCAAACATATGGTATAGAATTTTTGTTGCCTAATTGTTTTTAAGAATTTATAGAACCATTTCAGTTTCATTTAAAGCTTTTATGGAGGACATAAGACTATAAGTCTCAAGATGTTATGTTGAGCCCCTTGTCTTGAGTACTATAATCATAATGATATATATACTGATATTTAAGTGGCAAGGGTAAAGGGATGATCCTATTATTCGTCGAGTTTCAAATGGTATGCCGCTAACCATCGGCAATTTCTCGGTTATCAGAAGAAGAAAAAAAGCTATATATGAGAAACAAAGTTTGCAGAACCTTTCATCTAATAAATCGTGTGCCTCTTCTCACTAACTACAACCTTCAGCTTGAATTCAAACTTGTAGGAAAAGAAGGATTACTAAAAATTTGTCATCATTCTATATTCAAGTACTCTTCTGAATGTAGTTTTTTTTTTTTCTTTTCATTTTACCCTTCTGGCGAAGATGTAAATTTTAGCATAAGCAACTAGACAAACTGATTTTCAAATTCATACCTAAAACTAGATGTGTTGACACTTTTGTTGCGGCCAAACGCACACGCAAGTATACGCGGTCGTCAAGTAATAAAGTAACTAAAAGTCGGACGTCGAACCCACGAGGACTTGTGATTAACTATTAACTAAATTAGACTATCCTAATTATCTAAACAAGAATTAAACCTAAAAATATTTTATTCTAAACTAATTAAATAAAAAAATATAAACAATGAACTTTGAACAGAGAAAGAGCAGATTATTTATGATATCAATGTAATGAAAACGATCCAGGGTTATGGGCTATCTAACAATCCTATTGTATTCTTAAATTGAATTGACCGACTAATTTATCTAGCTTATTGGTTGACAGGGTTAATATTGCTCATAAGAATCTGTCGAGTTCTTACTCGCCTATTCAAGCTAACCTAACGCCTATATGTCTATGGAGTTAGAATCAACAAGAACGCATTTATAATTCCTGTAAATCAACCAAGCAAGGCAATTAGGTATATGTCTATCCTAACCACGAATCCGTTCCCCGATGCCCGAGTTCAAGAACTTGCCCTACTCAATCCTATATGCAATATAGAATTCCCACTTTCGAGTTCAATTCTAGATTCGTAGATAATATTCAATTGGTGATCAAGCAATTAAATAATTAAGCGCAAGATTGAATAAATAAACCAATATGATAAATCAAGAAGGCAAAATCAATATCCGAATAACAATAGTCATGAAAGAACCACAACCCTAGAACGTGAAGTTTAGCTCCACATAGACATGGTAGCCAAACAACAAATCATACAAAGAAACATAAAAATTATTAAGTTTAGTGAGAGAAAGATGGAACTTGATGAATTCCGGCCTCCACGGCGGCTCTGTTCTTGTGTTTTTTTCTCAAAAACATCCTCCTCCTTTTAAAATAGGTTTAGGTTGGCTTTTATATGAGTTGTGGGCATCTTGGGGTCGAAATAACCGAGTCCCGGTCGAAATAGGACATGTTCATATTTTTGAGCGTCCAGGGCAGCGTGGGGCGCTGGCCCTGGCGCTCAAATATTTTAGCTGCTGTAAATTGCGCCGCAGCCAGCGCCCCACGCTGGCTGTGGCCCTCAAATCTCACTTTTTGCGATTTTATTCCGATTTCGCTCCAATTCGCGCCCTTTCGTCCCAAATTGCATCCGAATAATCCCTACACATAGAAGTACCAAAATGTAGCAAAAAAAATCATATTAAACATCTCAAATCGTCGAGACATGAGCAAAATGTGAGGCGATATATATCAAAATATGCATACATTAAGCCGATTATCAACACCCCACACTTAGACTCTTGTTCGTCCTCGAGCAATGGAACTATATTAGCACCCCCAAAACGTACTTAGCACTATGAAAGAGGACCTCACAATTAACTCAATCAAACACCCTACCTTTTGACTATGATCGATGTCGGCAATTAAGCATGAACACACAAATTTCACATTCTTCCCGTTTTTAAATAGCCCAAGTATACTCAATATTTTTCAACCAACTCAATCAACTCAAGCAACCTCTCCACAACCACCTTACCTCAAGAGACGACTCGTTACCACTAAGCATCCTCAACACACGCACTCACCCAACACAAGAAAGTGTACAATATCACCAATCCGTCATGAGATCAAGTGCCCTCACCACAAGCAAAAGAGTGAATATCAAAGTAGTCCACAAATTTAAATATGTCATTGAACATAAATTAAGGACATCACACAATTGAACAACATTCACTCACTCTCACAAAGAATTCATGTGCATCCCGTGATCGTACTATAAGCTTGCCTGTAGTGTACATCTCTACTAATCTAAGCTAGCTAAATCTAGGATCAATTAGGACTTTAAAGTTGTAATGTAGGCTAAGGGACGGGTAGAATACATTTAAGAATAGTGACTAACCCTCCTAAGCACTTTAATACACTACACTCACAATTCAAGCGCAATTGCTTCGCAACCCATTCACTTGTCATACACCATAACTAACATAACCCTCTTTTCCATCAAGCACCTCTATGGTTTCACTAGCACGAGTGAGAAGAATTAGGAGGTGTGTCTTTCTACATTATTTAAACTTTTGTTTGCTCTTTCTTGTGAAAATATTTCCTCCTTTTTTTTTTCACACACTCCATACATTGAAGTTCATAAGCTAGTGACCTTTATTCACAATTT